ATGAAGATGACGATAATAGAAAGTTGTGTCTCTAGAAGTACAACACGTGTATGTTCCACTCTTCCTCACACAAAATATCCATGCAATATTACAAGAAGACCCTTATCTCTATCCCTCATCTCCACCACTTTCTCTGCTTTAATCTTCTCACTTCCTCCTCCATCTTCATCTTCTTCTCCCTTACCCTTACCTTCTGCAAAACGTCCAATAGCAGATTTCTCTGAACTCCCCAATTCCGGGGGTGTTAAGGCTTTGGAGCTCCTTGTCGGGTCTGGTGAAGTTCCCTCAGATGGAGACCAGGTATGTATGAATTTTTTGGTGGAGTATGAGAATTTGTATGAACATTTTAGTTTACAATATTAACCATTTTGAAGGTGGAGATTCATTACTATGGTAGACTAGCAGCAAAACAAGGATGGCGTTTTGATTCAACCTATGAACACAAAGATGAGAATGGTGATCCTAGTCCTTTTGTCTTTGTCCTTGGTTCTGGTAAGGTAAGTAAGCTTGATTATGGATCATTTGTCCTATGCTTTTATCATGTCACATAGTTATAGGTGAGAATGAAAAATGGTTTTATATGTTCAGGTAATTGGTGGAATTGATGTAGCAGTGAGATCAATGAAAGTAGGTGGAATTCGTAGAGTCATTATACCTCCATCACTTGGCTACCAAAACACATCACAGGAACCTATCCCACCTAATGTAAGAATCCAGAAGTACACAGTACTAGCATTATTTTATTACATTATTAATTTTTGTTAATTTCCAAAAAAATATATAGTTCTTTGACAGGCAGAGGCTGTTTACTACAATTTTTAATCCAACTCGACTTGCAAATGGTGAAGGGTCTACTCTAGGGACACTTATATTTGATATTGAACTGGTTAGCCTGAGGCATCTGTGAATTCAAGGTGTATGATCCACCAATCTCGAAAGAGAAAAATGTATAGTTATAGCTAATTTATTATTACAATGGATATTTATAGCTTCTTCTTTTTTTACCGAAGTCTTCAAGTATTCTCTTCAACCATATTGTTTGCTGGGTAGTTAAGTCAACTGAAATATATTTAACTTCTACAGAAGATTGAACAATAATTTGTTGTTTCTTTGGGTACCAGCAAACAACTCCTGAACACCATGAATATCTAGAAATGCTTTTCATGTCATTCATACTCTTGTCATATCGCCGCACTCTCTTTTGCCGATCCTAAATGAATATGTCTTGGATTGTTCATAAACCTAGAAAGTAAATTTGCTGCAAATATGATATATGGTCTTGTACTAGTGAGGTAAAATAGATTACCAACTAGAATTCTATAATTATTAGCATCAACCTTCTTTCCTCCATCTTCCTTCTTTAATTTTTCATTCACAACTAATGTGTATCAGTTGGATTGCATCCAAACATTCTAAGTTTCTTCAATATTTTTTCAGCATATTTCTTTTGACAAATAAAGACTCCATCACTCTCTTGGTAAATTTCAATTCCAAGAAAATGATGCAGCAAGACCAAATCATTAACCTCATCATCGTTTCTTTTCTTAAATCTTCAATCAACTTTAAGCTGTTTCCAGTAAAGATTAAAACATCTACATAAAGTGCAACAATTAAATATCAACTATACCTTGTTGTTTGACATACAAAGTAGGCTCACTCTTGCTCTTCTCAAAACATTTTTCCATAAAATAATTTTCAATATTTCTATGACATGCTCATGGTGTTTGTTTCAGTCCATAAAGAGCTTTCTTCAATCTATAAACCTTTTCTTATTGACCTTCAATCTCAAATTCTTGAGGTTGCTCCACATAGACTTCTTTTTTCAATTTTCCATACAAGAATGCTGACTTTACATCTAGTTGATACAATTTCTATTCTTTTTATATGCAAGAGATATTAATTCTCTAAGGATGTCTGTAACACCCTTCTAAATCCCGCAGAATATATATATATATATATATATATATATATATATATATATATATATATATATATATATATATATATATATATATATATATATATATATATATATATATATATATATATATATATATATATATATATATATATATATATATATATAATCAGAGTAAATTATCATGCATCTCAAATAAGGGTGTCACATATAAATCAAAACATCACACATATACTTGTCATGCTCAGTAACACTTAAAATAAATTCATACTTTTCATATACTTTCACATAGCATGGTAGCAGCGAAATTACTTCAATCATAAATTACGAAATTACTTCAATCATTAATTAACATAATGAAAACCCCATGATCAACCCATTCATAATCATCACTTAGGCATAAAAGTTGATACTCCACATAATTCAAATAACAATAACAAAATGAAGTAGAGCACATAAAATATCTCTCAAAACATGAATCAAAATATTCCCAGTGTTACATAATCAGAGCACGACTCAACCCAAAATAAATAAAGAAATTAAAACAAGCTACTCCAATGGCTACCTCGTGCTGAAGCAACTCTACTCCTCGGTATCTGAGTAATGTCGTACAAAACATCATTCCAACAGAAGGGTGAGAATTCACATATTTATCAAAATCATAAGATAATATATAATTTATGGCATACAAACATAACATAATTATTCTCACACTCCAAAAGCTTCATCAACATATTATCACTCAAGTGACCATACTATTCACAAGTACATACTCACAATTTCATAATTCGTCAACTCATCAATTTCACATATTTCACACAATCTCATATTCCAAACATATACATGATGTGACTCAATGCAAGACTTTAATGCAACTCATGCATGTGGTACCAATCACTTTTATTATTTTTCGGTTCTTACATTAAACTGGGTTCGTTCCCTAGACCAATAACACACAAAAAGCTCATTTCCTAAGCTTCCAAACTTCGCTATAGGTTTGAGACAAGTCACTAGTTCCCACGGAACTAACGAGCATTGCCTCTTGACAACAAATGATGCATGTGCAAGTTCAACAACCATATACAATTAAGACCATTCCCTAATCTTAAAATTCATGCATATCTTCAATAATTCATCACACTTGAATTACCATACAATTACACATACTTACACATTTTTATGAATCATCCACACACAATTCACTTTCAAATGGTATACAACACATTTTACAATACAATCACAACTGTATTATCATTACAACAAGCAATAACTATCATGCATATCATGTTGTCACACCCAAAATAGACTTATACAAGCACATACACAAGTATTCGATAAATCATCCACAAATAATTTCACAACCGGCAGCAAACAGCATAACAATCCATTAATAGAACATATACACAATTGTCTTCCCAAACATATTAGATATAAAAATATTGGGCAAAAAATTCTATTATCTACACTATAATATAGCACTATTCATTAAATTTCCGATGTTTCGAATGGGGGTCAAAACGGACTTACGGATCAAAAGTTATGACCAAAACGATTTCGACTGAAAACATCAACAGTCGTGACGGACAGCATGCAAAATTTTCTGCGTTTTCACCAATGGAGGCCTTCGGGACCTCTAATTTCGATTTCGTAAAAATCCAAACTCTCAGAAAATTACAAATAATCCAATATTGTAACTATCTCAAGTAAATTTATAATTTTAACACAATTAAACCATCTAATCATTATTTTAAGATTATGCCAAAAACTTTTGAAATTGATGGATATAGGTTAAATCCTCAACAAAAAAAAAAGAATACACATATAAGTCACACCAATTCATCATATAATTATCATATAAAAACCACCATGGAAATTAGGGATTTTTATTCTATATATGCTACTACCCATCATACATTATCATACAATCCCATAACCATGAAAAGACCCACCCTTACCTTGATTCCTTGGATTCTAGAGCTCTTGCTCTTGGGATTTTCTCCTCCTCTGTTCCACTTCTCTCTTTGCCTCTTTTCCTCTTTTCTATCTTTCTAACTCTATTCTCTCTTTCTCTTATTTTATCAAATCCAACAATTTCTCATTATTCTAATGAGCTTACTATTCACACTCCCCCACTATTCACACTCCCAATTTAGGCCCAATTACTTATTTCTACCATTTCCACATATTATTCCACCAAATAAAGTAAACCAATTAAATCAAATAATTCAATTAATTCAATTAAATCAAATAAATCAATTATGCACAAAATCACTCACTCAATTAATTAATATAATATAATATAATATAAATAATTACTAAAAGTAGGGTGTTACAATGTCGAGACATGCCACAAGGGCAAATGTTTCTTCATCTTCATTACCGGGTTGTTGTGCATATCCTTTTGCAACAAGTCCTGCTTCGTTCTTTTGAATTGAACTGTATGAGTTATGTTTCACCTTGTAGACCCATTCCATAAGAATAACTTCTTTTTCATTTGCCTTCTCCACTAGCTCTCATGTATTGTTCTTTTCAATAACATCTATGTCTTCTTGCATTGTCTTTGTCCAAGCATCTTCATTAGATGATTATTCAAAAATTTCAGGTTCAATTGCACAATAGTAGCATTTAGCATAAACACCATCCAAACTCTTAATTTTTATTGAAGTTGAGCTTGGAGATGATGAAGTAGAGTTTGGTCAAGATAATGTGCTAGATGGAGAATTTGGTATAGATGAATCATTTTTTACACTTTAGAAAAAGTTGGTTTTTTTCTCTAAAATGACTATTGGAATTGTTTTCTACTAAACATTCTCCTTTTTCCAATTGCAACAAGCATTTTCATCAAATACAACATCTGACAATTACTTTCTTAGTCTTCAAAGTGTTAAGTCTATAGCCCTTTGACATAGAGCTATATCCAATAAAGATGAATTTGTTACTTGATTCTTCAAGTTTTGTCATATTTAGGAACTTGAGAATTTCAAACATACCCACAAACTTCAAGGTAATTTCACAATCCATCAGAGTTTACTTAAATAGGAAGTCGCAGTTTTTATAATCTCATATATACATTGTGTGCAATATCTTCATTCATTTTACTACCTTGACAATTTTGGCATTTGTTATGGTCGGTCAAAGGCCCAATAAGATGAGGCTCACTCATCTCGCACACTCTATGAGGCCCAATATACAAATACAATTCCAAGAAATTTTCAGGTACACAATCTCCAATCTTCACTCATACTACAAGTATCTTGATTTCTAAACTGACTTTAACATTGTAGTGCCAACAATGCAGGCACCCCTGGATCCGCCTACCTGAGATTAACGGCATCAGTTCAAGATCAACGACTCTGATTTAACATGTGTTATAATCTCAACATTTATCCAAGAAACCACATTACTGAATCACTTACGAAGCTTCATTCCATCGTAGCTTCCATAATCTTATCCATTTATGTTTCTGCAACGGAATAGTGGCGCCGTTGGTAGGAAACAACTTATGATTCCTACGATTTCCACAAGAGTCATGTTCTCTTGTAAACACCATCAAACTAACTAAGAAGTTCCAAATCTGGATTATAGAGGTTCAACTACATATCTCCAATTCGCTAGCTTATAACCTTCTGAGGCCACCTAATCGAGAATGAATCAACCTCTGATCCCTTCATTTTCTATCTTCATCGTTCACAACTCCCCCATATCCGAACATTAATTCTGACGTGAACACGGGGATTTGTCGCAGCCGATTCTGTTAGCTACCATTTCTGCCTTAATTTTTTTCCTCAAGATCTTCAATTTCCCTGGCGATGCAGAGAATTACGAAATAACGGGTCTCATATCCAGATAAAGGGACATGCTGGGGTCTGAAGGCAATTTATGTGATAGGTAGAACAAAACCTCGCAATCCGCTGTCCAACATATCTGTGCCCGAGCTTCCCACCGTCACCTTGAAGCACAAAGGCAAAGCCAATAGCTGATAACACAAG